TAACTTTAAGTCTGTTATAATCTTACAAAAATCTATAAAAGAGATTTAAGCGGAAGGCACATTTATTTTCATTCTAAAAACAACATACTCATTTATTTCTCTTAATGTATTATATTTTTCCTATTTTTATCTTTGTAAACTTAATAAATATCAGATCAAAATTATTAATTCAGAACATCATATACATTATATCGATGTATGATTCATTGATCATTGATAGTTATTTAGACATTAACAAAGGCCAAAATATATAAACATGCAATTTATTTTTCAATACTAATAAACGATTGCACATACATACACAAATAGCAGCAATTCGTTGACTTAAGAATATTATATATTAATATTGTATAATAAAAATACAATCTTTATATATACATGCAGGATATATGGTACCAGATATATTCTCAAATGAAATAGAACATACTTTTATCTAACAATATCTTTTATTATTTTCTTTATAATGGTAATATTAAATGTGTAAATCTTCAAATTCTATTGCATATCAACTGTCATAGTCGAACGGTTTGTTTTAATACAATGCATTTTTAAGAACGATAAATACAAATATGTTTGTAATGACAAATTCTTGTTTGAGAGTAACATTTTGTAGTTATCAAAAAAAAAAGAGATGCGTAAATTAATAAATAATCGTGTGCATAATTGTCTATATTTGTTTCGGGGAAAAAGTATTTAAAAAAATAAATAAGATACCTTTGGCGAAATGTCTCGAAAGAAAGTAAATAATAGCCGCGTGATACAATTTTAGTTAATTAAAGGGGACTCCTTCAAAACTTTCGTCATATAATGCATTACTTGTGTGTTGTGTGTATATCTTTGTCCACCAATCTTGGTTAAGTTAACCGACAGTTACGTGGGGCTCATTTAGGCCCAGTTTCACAACTCATAGTAAACTTTTAATTGAGGTTTAATTTATTTTAAGTAATAATGAGTAATAATGAGAATAGTTGTGAAATTTATTCTAAATGAATCCATGTAACCATCGGTTAACTTAACCGAGATTGGTGAAAGAAACCCATGGAACAACATAAGATGATATTAATATCACATTAGACAAAATTTAACTTTTTTTATAATTCAAGCTCCTTTTCAATAATCCTGCGATATTCGTCAAAACCTTCTTCGATACAGCGAACTGATCCTTCTCCGCAAACCCACAATTCTGTACAAACCATTTGAATTAAACGTTCGTCGTGCGACACCAATATCACACCAGCCTGCAATAATAAAATATTGATTGAACTATACATACACAATTGCAGATATGTGAAATGAAGGATTTTGAAATTGAATTTTATTGACAGTCGTCAATAAAAAATAGTGATACTCACTTGGCAGTTGTTGAGAGCTTTACCTAACGCTTCGATTGATTCGATATCGAGATGATTCGTAGGTTCATCAAGTACTAGGAAATTCGGCATTGCGGCACACATCAAGGCAAACGCTACTCTCGACTTCTGCCCTCCCGAAAGAGAATTTATAACTTGTAAAGCTAAATTACCGCTTATACCGAAACTTCCAAGCATTCGCCTATATTCCTCAATTGGTTTACCTACCAGAACAAATACAGTGATAAATTTCTTTGGATAAATTTCTTTGGGTCTTGTATCTGTTTTATATCGCGAATACGTACCGGGAAAATGTGTTTGTAGCAATTCAACAGGACAAACACGCATGTCCAGTTGATCGACGTGGTGCTGACTGAAATATCCAAATTTCAGATTTCGATGTACATGCACCGTACCTCGCGACGGGCTCAACGCGCCTGTGATAATTTTCAAGAGAGTAGTTTTACCAGCACCATTCTCTCCAACGATACAAATGCGCGATTGCAAACTGGCAGTAAGATTCACATTGCTAAACACCATGTCGGTCCCGTTGTAACTGTATGAGACTTCATTGAGTTGCAATATCGGCGGACTTAGCGGTTCGACGTCGGGGAAATTGAGGGTCACTTCGCTCTCCTTCTCCATTGGCTTTAATTCAGGTCTATTGAATAACAAACAAAAAAAATGTAAATTACGTAAACTAACAAATTATCTGTGCGATCAAATTAGACTTACAATTTCTCTAGCATTTTTATCTTGCTTTGTACACTAGACGCGCGATTCGCATTGTATCTAAATCTATCGATAAATTCTTGTACATGCGCTCTCTTCGCTTGTTGAGCCTCATACTCTCGTTGTTGATTTCTCTCGCGTTCGCCTTTCGTTTTCACAAATTGCTCATAATTGCCACGATATGGCTCTATTTTTTGTCCACGCAAATACAGGATATCGGTGGGTACCTATTGAAGTGGTAAAGATAAGTATGTACATTTATAGTGAAAAAATTGTTTAATTGTTACATTAACTTTAAAAAAAATTTTTTTTTAATGAAGGCATTAATCTTTCACCGACAACATATCTTTAAACCATTGATATTTGATTGTGAATTCTGATAGATAAATTTAAATTTGTAAAAAATAAATAAAATACAATCTGACTTCTATGATGATAGAAACTAGTTAAAAATTTGTCCCCAGATTTTTTAATCTGGAACAATAACAAAATTTGCTCTGTTTTTTTCGAAGACCTTTGCTGACAAAAGAGTTAAAATTCCATTTTGCGAAGAATTCTATTATTAACATATATCTCTTAAATAAATATATCATACTCACAGTATCTAAAAATTTTCGGTCGTGCGACACCACAAGTAACGTTTTCGGCCACGTTTGCAGATACTTTTCTAACCATAATATTGCTTTGATATCAAGCATGTTCGTCGGTTCGTCAAGTAGCAACAGATCTGGCTTAGAGAATAGTGCCCTCGCGAGAGCGAGTCTCATCCGCCAACCACCAGAAAATGCTTTGGTCGGCCAGGACTGCTTTTCAACGGAAAATCCAAGTCCTGATAGGATCGCACTTGCTCTAGCAGGCGCCTTGTCGACTTCAGCTAACTGCATCGCCTCATATACCCGGGCCAATTCCTCACCTAACGCATCGCCCGTCTTGGAACCGTCCTTTTCTATCGCTGCTTGCAGTTTTGCCTCTTGACTGAGTAACGTGCTCCGTTCGTAATCGCATTCCAGAACGGACTCGAGCGCGGACGTGTCGTCGCCGGCTACTTCCTGTTCGACGTGCAACACTCGCACGTGCGATGGTATTCTCAGCTGCTTGCTAAAATCAATCGGGACTAATATGCAATAATTAGAGATATCATTTCCCAGAAAATAAGCTGAAGTTATTTGACATTAAAATGAATTTTTAACGTTTTTAATGTATTTGATATCTGCTTGTTTGCTGGGAAACGACTAGTAATGACATATCGCCATAATACCTTGATATCATTCGAAGCAAAGTAGTTTTGCCAAGTCCGTTTCTACCAATCAGACCGTATCGTCTGCCAAATGCAAGCGTCAAGTCAGCAGCTTGCAACAAGACTCTATCGCCATAAGCGACATCGAAGTTCTCTATTCTGATATCCTGGGTTTTGTTCACCCCACCTTTTGTCTCCATCCGACTATCTTTCTTACTTGTCATTTGACTGGCACTGGCGGCGCTTTCAGCCGCATTATTGGCAGTGTTAATACGGGAAGCCGATCCTTGTTCATTTACGATTCGTTTTTCCTGTTTCTGTTGCAACTTGGCCTCGGCTTTCTCCAGCTTCTTAGCATCTACTTTCTGTCACAATAATAAGCAATATTAACATACAAATAACGTCTAGAAATAATCCTCCGTTTGCAATTCATTTTTCTTCCGTTCAGCTCAAGTTCTTTTATTGTTACAAAAATTTTTTTTTAAATATGAAAAAATTCAGGCTCATTTGTCAACATTTTTATTATGAGTATATTACTAAATAGTTTTTTAACAAGATATTTTAAGAGAGAACTCTGCCCTCCCCTTTATTTTGGAAACTTGAGAAATGAAATTTCGTACCAAAAGAAATTCAAAAAAAAAAAATTGTAACCGAAATTAAAATTAATAAGTGACACAAGTTGACACAAGTGACGTCATCTTTATTTAATAAAAAAATTTTTTATTAAAAATGACAGAATGACTGTGTCAATTTATGTCACTAAATGGAAAGCACTAGTAATATACAAATAGAATAAAATACAATAAAAAATGAGAAACAATCTATACAAGTAGCATGATATATTCTTTATTTAAAATAAATGAAATACAACTATACATTACCATTACATCGTCCCTAGTTGTAACCCATATACTCTTAATCTGCTCGACTTGCGCCTCTAAGGTAGCAGCCAACGAACCCAAGTGCACCGGAGCATTTAATACTTTGTTAACACCGTTTTTTCTCCTATCTATGTCATCATCATTGTTTGAATTACCTTTCAATATTTCTAATAGCCTCACGCATATTTGCCTGTAAACGGAGAATAAAATATAATGAATCAATCTATTACCAAAAAGCAATAAATTTTACAATCTTTTTTAATACAGCAAATGAAGAAAAACATGATTTAAGACTTTTAAATATAAGAACAATATTGTTGATTAATGTTAATTATGATAAATTCAGTCATTCAGTTCACTCGCACTACACTGGATTAGAATTAAAGACTGTTTTAGATAAAGTATCTAAAAGATGTATGAATCAAGATTGAATTATATCATTGAAACATGATTTGTAATTAATAATTATTGTTAGGTTGAATTTTAATATATAGATAATAAAGAAATTTCTATGTCAGAAAAGCAATGTGATATAAAATCATTTTTACCATTTGAATCTTATTTGATTCAATTAATATTCAAATAATTCGCATACATATCTTTAGTATCCAAAGTATTACATAAACTGACATAAAATATCTGTAGTGGCATATAATATAATCCACTTTGACAATGAAATTTGACATTAAATAATTTGACAATATCATTATTGGATTTTTAATCGTTAAAAATATTTGTATGTTTTTACAACTTAACTATGCTAATTCCATGTATAGCAGTTTTCAGTTGCATTAATCTAATGTAACGCGAGTGATCGAATTTAATATTAGAGTGACAAATGCGAACACATTTACAGACCTAACCTCGTTTTCTGATTTGTCCTCGACCTCATGCAAAACCTGCCCAATCGCCTCGTACACCTCGTCGCCGTCCTCGAAGTCATCCTTGGAGCTGTCCAGGATACCTGCGTGCAGAATGATACGCATATCAAAGCTGAGTTCACCGGATATCAAACCGCGAATCTGGCCGCATAGGTTATTCCGCGGCATAGGAACATACCTTGCACGTATTGATACAGGTCGTCGTCTATCGTCGGGAACTGGCTGCGGATGTATTCGCCGCAAATCGCCATAATACTCGCTACTTAATTTCCAGAGGGTGAACGTTTAAAAAAAAGGGGGAGGAAATCCCGAATCGGGAGAGCCACGCCAACGAGTATCGCTCCCTTGACAGACGGTCGTGTCAGGTGAGTCGTCTCTGGTCGTCTCCGCCGACTACGTGAGTGAACACATGTTCGCCGCCATCTTGGAACTCGCTTCGACACGCGGTGATTCAAGAGCGCGTCAACCGAGTGACATTCCGCGTTGGGATACAAAGGACCGTCCACAATACTCTCCGCGTGCAAATTGTGAATTTTTCCGGGCATTCCGTACCGCCTCCGCGGCTCGCCACGTACAAGTTTTACATCCTCTTTGCATTCAACTGATCGTGGTGGTGGGTCACCATCTTGAAGCTGTCAAACGCCGAGCCTCCCCGCTGACGATACGCGAGCTCTCGGCCTCGGAGTCGCGTCGTCCGGGCTCCGACATCCGCGATCGTCGTACGGCGGTCGTACATTGACGGTGGGCACAATCTACGGTTCTCCAAGTCGACGGAAGTCGCGACGCCATCATCGTCATTCGTGATTCCTCGATACCTCGCGTGCTCCGCCAGCTCCCTTCTCGCTGTAAATAATCATCATCGACGAGATCAAGTCAAGTTCTCCGATCATTTTTGATGCACCCTCATTGAGGAAACGTTAAGAAGCGAAAGGAAGAAGAAGGAGTAGGGTAAAAGAGAAGGAAAAGTCGTTGAAGGGGCGCGAACGCCCCACCAGGAAAGGACGCCCTGGCGGAGACTCGCAAGAACGACGGGACGACCGACGTCGTGGAATCGAATGTCGAAGGGTTGCGCGCGGACATGGACGAGCATGAGATACTGCTTCTTCCGCCCTTCTCGGGTGCCAGCAGCAAGGAACGTACAAGGAAGAAGCTCTGGCGTAGCGCGGTAGAGATAGTGGCGAGCGATGACGAGGATTCGGATGCGGACGAGCACGAGTGCGCCTTCTTCCCGGCTAAGCGACACTGCACGCAATTGTCCAAAGCCAACGAGGCTTGTTCGGACACGGTAATTTGGTTCCATTGATATTCACATTACATGAATTAATTTACAACCTTAATTGATAATTGCTGAAGTAATTTGATTTGTTGACTGTTTGTCAACAGACTGTAAACTTTACAGTATTATTTTATTTATATCCCTCTACATTTATATCCACTACCAATGTATTAATTAACTTTGATTTTATTTACTTTTCGTCTTCTTCTAATTCTAAGAAAAAGATAAATTAATCAGAGATTAATGCTAATCTACATACATTGATGAAACAGATTTTATGCTCCTTTCTACTAAGATAGATTAACTATTAAATAATTCAACTTATTCTCCATCTTTTTGTAATTTTTAAAACTAGAAAAAGATAAAGAGTAAGAATTTAAAACAAAATTCTATTAACTATCATCATTGGTTATATTGAGAACTTAATAAATTCATATGCACATATTCTGTGTTTATTATTATTATTGATATTAATGTTATATATTTAAAAATAAGTTGAACTGAAATTAAAGTTAATTTATATTAGTGGAAACAAATATTATAGTATTTTTCATATCTAGTATATCGCAAATTGTATTTTTATTAACATATAGCAAATTTGATTGAACACACTTAGTGCACACATTAAAATCGTTATACATAAATTAATGTAAAGATATGTGCTAAATATAAACAATTACAACAGTAGAAACAAGTTAAACAGTGAAAACCTTAATATACTTTATTGTGCTGTTAGCTAAAATATATATTTTATAATTAGAAATACTTGCATTCACTTTTATATTCATATTAAATCAATGTTCAATTTTTAATATTCACCAATGTGCACTAGTATCAATTGAATTTGCTATTATTATGTTTCGATATTCGTGCCAGTGCTGAAAATCTATATGCACATAAACATTACAGATTTTCAGTACCATCAATGAATATCGGAACACAGCCTCTGAGAAATAATTATCGATTATATATCATGATTTGCTATAAGAAACTGACCGCATTCAGCAAAATGTTTATTCTGTAACTATTAGAAATTTTCTTCACAAGGAGATTTCTCCAGATTTAAAAGTACATTCTAATTAGCGTATACTTCAGAAAACTTTTGACAATTGTAAAATAAACATTCTGCTAAACACAGCTAATTATTCTTCTAGGAACAGCACACGAGTACGGAGACACCAACTAGCAACGTGGGAAATCTTGATTACGACGAAATTATATATCAAATACAGATCGAAGAGAAGCTAAAGTTATGGCAAGCTTTCCAAGAAGAGGAGGGATCCATGGATAATAGCATCAATGAAGTTTTGGCTTACTACAGAATGATGCATCCACCTGATCCTTTGGAGGAAGAGTCTATTGGTTCCAGGTTTCATATGTCATACAGAGGGAACGACATGGAGGACACAGCGGTGACGATGGCGATCCGTAATCACGGCTTAGTCCAGTCGACCGAGCTCCCTCTTCAACCTCATTACTGTAAATGCATAGGTGTTGATTGTTCCTTTTCGTCCAAATGTATGTATGAACTCGAGGACTTTCCTTACGGGGCGGTCTACAGTAATGTAGAAACGGGGCGATGCAATGCGTTGGATGCAGATAAAGTATACGAGTGTGATCAGCCGGAAGACTTCCTAGAACGCGCCGTAGGTGAGGCGATTAAGAAGAAAGGTCTAAGCGCTCTGAGTGTGGATTACGGTTGAATACGCTTCGTTAACGCCTGCTCTAATTCTTTTGATGTATTTATATAAATATATATATATATATTTTTTTTTTATATATATATATATATATATATATATACAGTAGCGTAATATATCCCTAATTGTTGTGCTCTGTAAACTTATCACGACTTCGTTTTATAGTTGATTTTTGTCGTACGACAGTTGCAATGCGTTATCCTACGAGCGATAATCTCGAAAATACTTTATACTCAAATATAATATACATATATACATTCCGATGTAATGACTCGCTTACGACACAACTCGAACTTCATTTTATTCAATAATACCGATGTTATTATAGCGATATTTTCCGTTTATTATTCTTCTCAATAGCCAGCCATATAGTATTAATATATTGCGTTAATTATATTTTCATACAAAATTGTATGGAGATATAATTATTGTGTCAAAATATAAATATATACATGTTAAATCAAATTAGCTTTGTAAACGATATATACTTGAGAAGTATAAGCAGCTATTTTGATTATAGTATAAAATTTGTTTTAATCAGAAACGCATACGTTTCCTTTTCTTTGCAGTTGTGTGTGACTTGTAACTCACATCTCCCTGTATATACTTCCTATTATTATATTAATTATAACAGAAATGAAGCTTATATATCTTTTTATTAAATATGAATAATTGCACGACAGAGAAACAAAAAAAATTTATTTTTTTTTAAGATTACCTCGGAGAGGTTTATCTGTTGAAAAATAATCATTTGAACAATTTCATTATGGTTCAAATTACGCGGTTTTTTTATCGATCAATCGCGAATCAGCTGTTTGCGTGCGAAATTGAATTGAGGTTACTTGTAATGTAACAATATTTGCATTCATACATTTTTACAAAATTAACAAATAATTGTTTATAAACAAATGTTGATAAATGGACAATCGAATTCCATATTACGTAATTTAGAGAAAAACGCACTTATGATTCTTATAAATATCGTGATGAACTTTTTAAATTTTTAATTTGTTTATAATTTAGTTTTGCAAAGTGGGCAAAAGACAATATGTATGGACACATGCGTACTCAACAAACGAGAATGGATTAAAATGGATTGAAATTTTTTTCAATCCGAAAATATTTTAAATAGCGAATATTTTTTTTTGGATTTAATTGGATTCAATTGGATTCAATTAGATGCAATTGGATTGAAAAACTGCATTTTTTATTCAAAATTTTGAATTGAACAGTATTCACAATGTGTTTTTTGTACACAGAGAAAGCTAATATTATTTTTAGATTAAAAGGCATGGAGATATACTCTAATTTTTATAAATGAATAAAAATGTATTACATTTTTATTCATTTATATATTGTACAGGATTGAAAAGTATTCATTTTAACATTCGTGAATCAATATTTCTGAAAATCTGAATCCATTTCAATTAATTTCAATCCATTCTTGTACTTCTCTTTACTGTACATGATAGACAACCATTCGTATGTAATTTAAAAAAAAATACATATAGAGATGCTAGAATTTTTTATTTATTTATAATTTTTTTAGATTGACAAAAAATTATTTTTTATGGACTAATGTGAGCAGATTGTGGATAATCGAATGCGAAGTAAAATTATACCAAAATTTAGGATTGCCTTCGCAGTTGTCGAGTTGCTTGACCGACGGAATCTTTCTGCTTGTTGCGCCAGTCTCAACATGATGTCAGCAGGTGTAATGCTCCAACTCATCAAGTTCTCCATTGAAGAAGTTCTGATTGTGAAAAAAAACCTTATCTGACACGCGCTATCCCGGGCATTTCGGCTGTGTTCCACTTGGCGCTCGTGAAATTCATTTCATCCTTGTTATTTATCACGTGTTAAATAAGAACAAATAATGCCCACGAGGATTGTAAGTTTCAAATGGAACGCATCCTTATAGCAAATGGAACAGAGAAAAATAAAAAAATGAAGAGAAAGAAAAAACGAATGGCGTGAATTCTGTACGCGTTTTGCCGCTATCGAAATAATTTTTTCTAGAACTAGGAATGACACTCATTGCTGTTGGCTAGGACTCGATCGAGAAAAACTAGGAGAGTATTGCCAATTTAATGGAATTTCTACCAGATTTGAAGGTTTTTTTCTTTTTAAATTTTTTGAAGGTACAAGAAGAATTTCAGAGTAAATAAGTAACTTTTGCAGAGGAAAATACAAAGAATTCCAAATTACAGCTAAAATTTTGAGAGAATCACAATATAACGGATAACTTTCAAACAGACTTGGCAACAGTGGCAACTGGAGCCTGGAGGAGGTCTGAGACTCTTGAGAGCAAGAGAGGCGCGACGGAAGGAGAGAGGGTCCACGATCAGCGGCGGCGCGGCCGCCGACAAAGCCCGCGCAACGCTCGACGTGAGGGTATACGGCGCGCGACGCCGAACGTCGCCGGCGCCGGCGGTGCGTTGCCACTCTCAGAGTAGTGTCGCGCGTAGCAGCAGCAGCAACTCCGCCGGGCAGTCCGTCCGGCTGGCCGGTCGGCCTCGTCGCGATCCGGTTATCACCCCTGTCGCCACGCGCCGCAGGCTCTCGGAAAGAACCCCACGTGAGTGCTTTTTACCGATCTTTTTTTTGCATGAGCAAAGCATAATTTTTTGCTCATCACTCTAAATCTGTAGTAATGAAAATTTTACGGCTAACAAAAGTGAGTAACAAAGTCATAGCTTTAAGTATGGATTTTCACTGCTTTCAAGTTAATCTGTCTTACATAAAGGAGTGGACTATTTCATTCGATTAATCGAAGTGATTTAAGGATTAACTGATAATGCATTGCAAGATGCATTGAATGTTATTGTAAGAAGTGAATTTAGCGTATCATTATGTCGTTTATCGCATATTTATTGTTTGTCAAAATTATATACGTATATCTATTATATCATTAAACTATTAAACCATTATTTTACCATTAAAGAAATCAAATTTATAACGTATATAATTTCAAAAATTTATAATTAAAAATAAAGTTAATAGGTTAATAGATTGATGGCATGCTCTGTTCAAAATCTGTCTCCGTAAACTTTGTTATCTGGATAGAATGATATTATTCTGTCATTATTCTAATCTTCAAATTCACTTCTTTTTGGAATAAATTTTGCACTTCAATTATCGAATGGATTTTCCATTCCCATCTTGCAATAAAGTTCACTGGCAGTAACATTGGCGCAATTGTTAATGATTGTATTGAAATTTCAATTTAATGCAGTGAAATTTCATTGCTACAGATTTAGAGTGGCAGGAATCGATTGTATATATCTTGAAACTAAAATAAGAAAAAGTAGTAAACGTATGCAAGCAAGGAGAATGTTTTTGCTCTCTTGTGACTAAACGAGTTTCATTATCAAACTGCACAGTAGAAAAACGTAGTAAATATCAGACGCGGTGGCCGACCGATCTACCAGTCGATCGCGCTACTTTCCAAGCGATTTTAAATCCACTATTAATCTCTCTGTCTGTAATCTGAATCTTTTTTAGCACGAAATTTGTTGAAGCGAAATTTCACTCTGAATTATTTTCTCTGAAATAAAAGAGAGAGGAGTTCGATTCCGTTATTACTAATTATATATAAATTATACATTTTAAAATACAAATTTTAATTTCTCTTCAGGTTTGCTCAAATTTTAATTCTTATTAAAAATTTTAATATTTGAGTTGAAAGTTGGCGGAAAAATATAATTACAGAGAATTAAAATTTACCCAATCAAAAGTCTGTAATTAGAAGAAATGATTTTGCTGAAAATATAATAAAGATAAAGAACAGATCCAAAAATAATTTTATTAAAACAAAAATAATTACGTAGAAATCTCAAGCATGATGAGCAATAATACATACAGAATTCTATGAAAAGAGTCCGCAATTATTTTAATGGCCCAATAAATTATTATACTTTCAGATCTATATCTAAATTTTTAGATACAAGCAAAACTGTGATAAACATACATAAGTGTTAAATTAGAAATTGAGTTCAATACGAAAGAAGGGAGTGTAAAAATGGCGAAAATTGGTTCTAAATGGATAAACCTATGCAGTTATCATTTTGGAAATCCGTACATTCATGAAAAAATGCTTATGTAGGAAAGCTTGGGAAACCTTCTAAAAATAATAGGTCGTTTAAACGCTCTGCAAAGAAATTCATTTTGTTTCTAATAAACAATAGATTTCAAAATTAATAGCTTATTTATATCTAATCACAATTGGATCATGAAATACTAAGTAAGAATACTAGGAAGATCTATATTAGGGAAAAAGTTCGTAGCGTTTTTTTAATGTCATCTAATGGGAAAAACGCCACGAACTTTTTCCCACACCTAATATATATAAAAGGATAGTCCACTTAAATCGAATATTTTGAATATTTCATTTATTTTTGATGACACAAAAAAATATTTCAAAGGGAACATATTTTGGTCATGTTATTTTTGTTTTTTTAGGTGGAGGCGTCAAAAAAATATGAAGGTTACTTCCACTTTTTTAAATGGAATTGTATGATTTTTTTTTTACATAATATGATTCCTCTAATTATTCTGCATATAAAAGTA